GATGATGCTGGCGTACACTGCGCCAGGTCATTAAGAGCTCATGGCTACGATTGCGACCACAGAAAAGTGTACAACGGCTAGAATCCTGGACACACGATCGTTTCAACCTTAGGACCGACGAACGAAAAAATGGGTTTCCCGCCTCGACCAATACATATCGGACACCACATCAAAATGCAGGAAGAAGACACCGTGACTATCCACACTACACCCTCTTCTGCTGCAATAAGCGCCACCACTATCGTAGTAATAACACACTGACCCCCCAATAAAAACATTATTATGATTGCATATTCTTGCTCTAAAACAAGCCTCTCACTCATCTAGAGCATGTCTAGACCATGATACTATCCTTCCCATATATTCTCTACTTAATGATGCACTGCGCAAATTTGTTTTTGTCTTGTTTTGTGTTGTCTTCTTCTTTTTTACGCCCTATTTTATTTACATGCTTGATTGCAGATGGGCCTGCGAAAACTTTCCTGTGTATTAACCCGATCTTCTGTCAACGAGGTAATACATGTTTCCTTCTTCATATATTTCGGAGTATTACCCTATCTTCTGCTTACGGAGAAATGCACGTTTCTTTCTTCATGCATACGGGGTTTTACCTGACCATTCAGATTTCGTACGATGCTAGAAAGGCTGCTTACTCATGTCGATTTCCTTACGCCTTTCAGACGATATTGATAAGGAAGCCTTGGTTAGGCCAAATAGGTAATGGTTCTGTTCATCGCACTTTGCTATTGAGCGATCTTCTCATTAAAATTAAGGAAGCATAACAACTCTTAAGTTTATTCGATTTGTAGGTCAGCGTTGCAGTTTGTTTACTACTCCAGGGTAAATCTCGCATAAGACTTGCTATAATAAAAATAACGCGTATGTATATTTCGAAAGATTGGACTCGCGTTGGGTAGTGCATATATGATTTGATAATTGGAGGCTGTCAGGTGGGCATGTATATGGGTTGTTTACTCGGGTTGGTAGGTGGGGATAGGTGGTCATATATGTGTACCGCTTAGTAAGTGGTCGGGGATAGGTGGGCGGGCTAATGGTGCTAAGTGTCAGATCATCTTTCAGGGAGGGATATGTTCTAATTGACTCGTATGATCATACATGGAAGGGGAGGTCTGTATCGTAGATCAGTGGGTGGCACGCAGCGGGTGGGATGGACTCCTGCATTGCGATAGAAGAGTGTTTGTTAAAGAAGTATTGAGAGAGATGTTAATCCCCTTGGTATGTCTTCTCACAATACGCTTCTCGCCACTCCAGACCGTTTTCTCGGCTATCAACCTATATTAAACGCTCAGCCCCCATGTAGTTGATACGGGCTTGTGTTATACGTACGAATCAACTTATGCAATACTCCTTCGTTGTATGCACGCTTACGCCTTTTTAGATGCCAATTTTCTTTCCCCCGGCGCTTGCCTTCGAATAAATCTCCCCTTATACTGTTCGATGTATGTCCAGGACAGTCGTGCCCCCTCAGTGTAAGTATTCCTAGTCCCACAAGTTCCCCATCAGATGTCATTAAGCCATAACTAAGTTATGAAAAGCAGTTCCTCTTCCTCTCACCTTTTTCTGAGAATTTCTACGTTTCTTCACTTTTTTCTTCCTCTCAACCTTTTTTCTTCCTCTTCTCTTCTTTCTCCTTTTTTCTTTTTCTTTACTCCTCTGTTCCCAGAAATCACCACTCACGGCTGTCTGTAACAGGATCTAGTCGTAAACAAAACTCTATTATTATGGTGCAATTATATGATTGAATTCGTCCTTTTTTCTATGATGGTTGCACGTTTGAACCCACTACTGTGTTGTTGCTTATTATCTTATGTTACTCTATGATAATCTAAATTGCAGCAACATAATTAACTTAAAACTTTACTCCCTGACTTAGGCCAGGGAATATAGTATTCATTCTCGTTCTTCTGCTATATATAAAGTATTTACAGAGTAAGGTCCCCGATAACCCTCTCTTGCCGCACACACCATATCCAAGGATAGTACTGTAACAAACCTCAGTATGTTTTCCAAAGACGAGGATATACCAGGTTTCAAGACGACGTGCGCCTCAAATTTGTGAATGGTATTAAGACCAATGTGCAGCCTTTTTGAGTTGTCGGCGTCCACCCCTTCCTAAGATCCCGTATTCCGTCTGTATGAGGCAAAAATACACCCACGAAGGAGTGTTAATCTACATTCCCTTTACTGGATAGTAGTGCCGCTACGAACCACGAACGATCTTTTCGTTTCTGACGGCTATAGTACTTCAAGTAGCCTGTTGTGGACTGGAAACACTTCGGATTTAACAGTAACTATGCAAAGGACTTTTTCGGTAACAATAATTTATGACCTGCGCCACTATAGAAATTACCCCATAACCCTAAAACAAAAGCAATAAAAGCGTTCTCAGTAAAACTGGAAACACGTATCAGGAGCTACCACGAAATTTAGTTGGAGATCCCTAAAAATTTTGGGTTACGTAGAAATAATTTTCCTACAGAGGACCTCATGTCCACCCATATCTAGCAAAGGGTTGCTAAACACTCTACTGCTTTCTCTCTCTCTCTCTCTCTCTCTCTCTCTCTCTCTCTCTCTCTCTCTCTCTCTCTCTCTCCTTTTTCAAAAAACCATTCAACTCCCGGCTACACATTACAACATAGTGCTCGACATATTCCGTGGTTGTGGACTGCGTCTGCTAATTATAACATTTTTCAGCCGATATGTACCACTGTAAATTGTTCTTGACCACACAACCACGATCGACCTAGTTGATCACCAGTGACGCTAGCATGCAATAACTACATACACATGAAATCGCCCCCCGATATGGTTTATAAACTTGACCATCAGGCCCACACATCTTAAATAGATGATCACCGCCCAGCGATACAGGACATGCACAACTATTTCTGATATGGATCGCTCAGATAAACCCCATAACTAATGCGCTTGAACAATAAATAATATTGCACCTGGCAACCCCCTACATAAACGTCATACCCAATCCGTTGTACCTGCTTTTTCAGGACAACGCTCGTCTTCGAGCAAATCTCCCCATGCATTGTGCTTTTTTTTTTTTTTCCACGGTGGGCTACGCTCTCAGCAGCTCCCTCTGTGTTCGCACTGCTAAGCACACATGTTGCGTATCAGATACTATGTCTCAATTTAGCACCAAGATCTTGGACCATTCTAAATGCCTCCTCCTCCCCTTTCCAGACCTCCCATGTCTATTATGGTTTTCTTGTTTCCTCGCCCCCTACGACTAACATGTAAAATAATTCAAGAATTTTACTCCCTTTGCTATATGAAACATAGATTCCATTTGTCCTCTTAAGACGTTTATAGACTGCTGTGTCAAACAAGCCCACTCCTGCCCCGTACACCCTACCCACTAGACAATACTAGTACTCAATTTAAGGCTCAACATTATGCATGGAGGAATTTACACATGTGTCCACGTCAACGTATTCTTCCAACTGTGCTACCCCGTATGCAGCTTTCTGAGTCATTGTCATCCTAGTCCATTCATACGCAATGAAGCAGCAAACGATATGAGATTCCTTTTCACACCTGACATAGGAATGCCAAACACACCCAAGCCCTCACTATACGACTATATTCATACACTCACTCTTCACCTAAGACCACAATCTGAGCTTCATTCCGGTATGATCTACGAAATTTTGCGGCATGCAACATGATTGTGCACTACGTCTTCACCTCCTTTCCTACATCATTTCTTCGCCCCCATTTATCTTTCACATATACCACCATAAAATTCCCCTGACCACTTTACCTCGATTGGCCTCTTATATCACCAGTCACATAAGTTGCGCTTTCTCACAAAACAATAAGTATAGAATAAAACCTTAAGATTAGACATACATACTATACATAGATATTATTTCTAAAAACATTTTTACCCGTGATAAGAATTTAACCTCCAGTATCCGTGAGTGACAAACTACGATATCAGACACACATAACTATAAATAAAACACTTCTTTAATACCCATGACAATACACCGTACAAAGGACTATCTCATATAAACAAGTACTACACTCCGTTTTCCTATATCACACGACTGCTATAATTCCTTCGTTTAGGCAACAAGCACACTCACACGACTGCTATAATTCCTTCGTTTAGGCAACAAGAGCACTCACACGACATAAATCAGGATGCATGGCAAATACACAACAACAATTAGCAAACCACTCGTGCATTGTAAACCCATGGCCAAAAAATTGATGTACCCACCTAATATGCACCTCACCTAACAATAGGCTCACCACGATATAATCCAACACACCAACAAATTTTTATTAAAAATATACACTTAATCTCGCGCTCCCCGCGATATCAATTAGGACAACTCCATGATTACCTGAACACAACACAAAAATTCCGCCAGAAATAATTACAAAAAAAAGTATATATCTGTATACAGATATATATATATATATATGTATGTATACACGTATATATATATATATACACATATATATGTATTTCGGCCAACACACCTGCCCTGTATACGGTAGGCACAGAGGGAGACGAGAACAACATACGAGTGAATATATATTTCTTTCAAAGACACACGATAGCTGCTCACAAACGCAAAGAAACCATGCACAATATAAAAAAAGACCTGAAACAAATGATGTACCCAAAATAGAAACATGAGCACAACCCCCACCTCCTTATCCAAATACGTAAAATACCACTGACCAATTCCCGATGTTTCCAAAGTATTGCACACAAATCAAGACCGTTAAACTCCCTAACAACCACTATGTGCCCCCCCTGTAGCTCCACCAACCTTATGCACCAATGACTACTTACACCCCTGTGGCAAACAGATACTCCAAACCAACAACCAGAAAAAACTATGCTACTGACTTCTCCATGACCCTCCGACAGAAGGTAGCCCAACCAAGAAAGATGATTGACGCAACCTCCAACCCTCATCTACACAGAATCATGCAGAAGCCAACACCAAACCCCATGCCACTAAACCATGCCTACTAACCCTTACAACTACATGAGTAGCTCCATCCCCAGAGGCTACATATCATAGCGCAACTCCCCATGCAGATATGGGCGTGCCTCCAACGGTGCATCTAGATGAGCCTCCCATTCTGCGATCCCTGCCATGCGCCCATCATGCTCATTTGCCACACACGACAACAGCATACGAACGATCTTCTCAACGAGATCGTCACCTCCACCCCCAGCCCGATTCGGCACGTCATCGTGCACCTTTGTAACGTAGACTGCTACATCTCGAAGGTCATCTCCCACATACCCCAACCCCATCTCCATACGAAGTACCAACGTACCATTTGCATCAACCTCATAACTGCGATAGTTGAAGCGTGTATCCGCCGATACAAACCCGAAGTCACGATCTAGCATTACATCCCGTAGCTCCGTCATCTCATAAACCACCACGGTACGCCCACACACCTGCCCCCGACACACCACTACAGTTGCCATCACCAATCACCTTCACTGGATACAACGTCCACCCGAGCCGACTAACAACTCCTCGAGAAAATGACGACCTCCACTACCCTCTAGCCACCAGCACAGAACTAGCAACACTCTACCAGCAAAAATGATACAATACGTGCATGCACAAACCACATACTTATACCACACCCGCACAATGAAAAACCAAAAAAAAAAAACTTAACAAAACAGAATAAACAAGAAAACCAAAAATAGTTGTCCCAAACAAGCACACATCGAACCACGCAAACCTCCTAGCGAGATACCTGCAACCCCCCCCCCCCCAAAAAAAAAAAACTCTCTCGACCTACCACCGAACCGATTATAACCCCAGACGACCTGTCTCAAACTCACCACGTAATAAACAATCTATCGTCCGCACCCCAACCACACCCTTCACAACCCACATATATATAAAAATAAAACAAAAACCAACGGAGTCAATACTGCCAGACATCGAACCTAAAAATTCCCCTCGCAAACTGAGATCCTAACGCCTGCCTCCATCCCTTGAATATGCCCCACACAGTAAACACAACCGAACGTCCCTAACCACACCACCACCTATGAACCCCCGAAATTCAAATTACCCCCTCCCCCCAACCCACAACTACGCCTACAATTTAAACATCCTACAGTCAAACATACACCATTGGAAACGTACTACGCCCATACCCCCCCTCCTCCCCTACATGCACAACCTGCACCGTACTACAGACACAACTCCATACTTACTACAACGTGCAAAGAGTCACCAACCCCCCTGGTTCCTCACACCCGCATATTAACGCTATACTTGCTTTGCGGTTGCACATGCCATGGTTGATAAGCTCACCTCACTCGCACCTCTCCTGCACTTGCCTCCCAAATACTAACCTCGTGTTCCACCTGATCGCTCAACGTGCAGGATGAATCTGACGGCAGTACCGGCTGGCACACAGAGCTCATCGAGAACGTCCGACCCTTCACTCACCTCACGCCACCCAGCATCCATGCACAGATTGCGATGCTTGCGCTACCGCAGGCTGTTCTCCACAGAGTTCATGCTGCCTCCAACTCACAGGCACCGTTCCTTATCAAAAACCTCCTCTTCTCCGCCTGAGCTATCATCTTGGGAAAATGGAAGCCCCTCCTAGGTGATGAGGAGGCTGTCATCAAGACCTACGCCAGAGACATCAAATCAATCATCGAGCAGGCTGCTAAGCAGAACCGCGACATGGGCAAGATTGTGGCCTCCACAGAGAAGACCATCCTCGACATGCACGGCTTTAGCTCATCGCACATTACCGCCACTGGGGAAGTAAGTAGCAATCACGAATCCAGCGAGCACAAACTCAAAGTTGCCAAACAGATGAACCTCTCCCAAGCAGAAATGGATTGGTACATCCAGAGGGTTGCTGAGAGACAGCAGCTCGCTGCCGAGCCCATAACCTGCACTCCCACACCCCGCAGATCCAATAACTTCAAGATGTCCCCCGATGCACCCTTCATCCCACTGCAAACATCTCGCTGGATCAATGTCAGTGCCCAGTTTGAGAACAAACTCTGGTGCATGGATTCTTTCAACCATGCCGCTCCGATCTCCATCCAAGCCTACACTGCCCTTGCCAACCTCTCCCCCAAAGATCTTGATGAGTGCCGAAAAGACGCTGCCAAATGCACTATCGCCTTCCCCACTGGAAAGTTGCACCTTGACCACAACTTTCCTAACCTTGCCCCTCTCGACAACACCAAATGTCCCAAATGCCATCCTGTCCTGCACACCAAGACCATTCAAAAGCCCACCGACGATGTCTTTGAGTTCAAGAAGCTGTGGAATTCTGGCAGACCATATCTCAGATGCTCCTGCCCGTCACAAAATGGCTCGATCACATGGTTCGACCACATGCTGTGGTTCTACATTGCCAATCTCGATATCTTCGAGACTGGCATTCCCTCTGATCGAACGAGGTGGGTAGAACTCCTCGACAAACTCCAGAATGAATGGAAGAAACCCGTAATGTTACAGGTTACCTTCCTCTACATGCGCAGACACATGATGAACCTCACCCATCTCGCTGCTGCAGACCCCACATGCACCACCACACAGCTAATTGGCAGAGCTCCATACTCCACCATGCCCTTCGCCAGCAGCTTCGCTGCTACACTCATCCCGCAAACTGCTAATAAGCAGCGCCCAACCCCTTCCTCTTCGTACAAACGCAAAGACAACATCATCCAGAGAAGCAGGCACAGGCAGGCAACCATCCCATTCTCAAATGCACAATCTTCTCCACGAACCACCACCACGGCCATAAATACGTCCACCATACCACCATCCCATCCCCCCACTGCTGCGCAACCGTTACAACACGCCACCCCCCCACTCCAACAGGTACAACCTACCCCGACAATTGCCACCAACACCACCACCACCACCACTGCACCTGCTGCAAAACTGCCCAACGCTGCTGCCGCAAGTGCCACACGCAAGACTAGGCGCAATAACCCTCAAGCAAACAAAAGATCCCAAAAAGGAAGGTGGCAGAAGAGAAAAGAAAAACTCGCAGCAACAAGAAGGGCTCAGCAGCAGCAACACACTGCACCCTTGGTGCAGCAACAACCACCAGCCCTACCATCGCAACAGCAGCAGCCCTTAGCCACCCAACCACAGCTGCCGCAAGCTCCTCATGCACAGGCTGACAGCAACTCGCAGCACAACACAAATGCACGGGCCCTACAATTCCTCCATAACACCCTCCAGCTCCCCCCGCAGCAACCCCCACTCTTGCCGCTTCCCACCAATCCCCACACACACGCACATACTGCGTCTCGGCCTCCACCCCTACGAACCTCCTGGCTCCCCACCCTCGCCGGTTTCCTTTCACAACACAGCAGCCCACACAACCCGATCCCAGCAAGAACCCCCAGCTCACCACCACCTCAGGGTACACGTCCGCACAATCCGATCATCCTCGCCTCCCCCTGACCAAACACCCCCCCAAGAGCCGTCAACCCCATCAGCTTCCTCCTTGAACCGTATGACGTAGAATGCTCACTGATAGATCCCAATCTAGATGAAAGTTACACCACTGATGTCGTGCAAGAAACACCCGATGTCCGCAGCCATTCCAAAACCATCAGACGCAACTTGACCCAGCAATTTTCTCACGAGGGACTCTCCCTCACAGAAGACTGAACTTCCCACCATCAAGACTTCAGGTCCATCGGTCCCTTCAACAACATTTTGGTTCTGCTACTACACGCCCTCCAGGAAAGATCACGAGTGCTAAACGTCAGTACCTCTCAAGCTGCTGCAGACTACGACTCCCATACTGAAACTCCCCCACCAGTTCAGCAGAATGGAGTTGAACCCGCCTTATCGTTCGGCTACCTGAAGACTGTCCCTCCATGCAAAGTAGCATGATAGTGCTCCATGAAAGCACCCCCAATTTTTTGAAGCAATATACTCCTTTCCCTCTCTCTCTCTCTCTTCCATGAGCTGAGAATAACGCAGCACACTGCGGGTTTACCTCCCTGCGTATCAAACTGGTACTTTGCTTACAACTTCCAAACTGCATACCTCCCTTGGATTTTTTTTTATTTCCCCCCCCTATAAGGAGCCTCAGTCACACCCCCTCTCTCTCCTCCTCTCGCTCTCTCGCTCTCTCTCTCGCTCTCTCTCTCGCTCTCTCCCCCCCCCTCTCTCTCTCTCTCTCTCTCTCTCTCTCTCTCTCTCTCTCTCTCTCTCTCTCTCTCTCTCTCTCTCTCTCTCTCTCTCTCNCTCTCTCTCTCTCTCTCTCTCTCTCTCTCTCTCTCTCTCTCTCTCTCTCTCTCTTCCTTCCTGTACTGAGAATCACCCAGCTCTCTGCTGTGATACCTCCATTTGTGTAACAAACTGGTACTCTGCTCCGCCCTCCGAACTACTCGCCATCCTTGTTTTCTGATTTAATAAAAATAAAAAAGATCAATTTAGAAGCCTCTCTCTCTCTCTCTCTCTCTCTCTCTCTCTCTTTTAATTTAACAAACTGGAACTTTGCTGCGGCCTCCCAAAATGCATGCCCTCCTTGGTTCTTTATTATTTTTTGAAATCTGGTGCTATAGTCGCACCCGTGTGTCTCCGCCATACACTCAATTTCCACTCCTCTATTCTTTGCAGTAGCTGCATGAAGACTCTCTCTCTCTCTCTCTCTCTCTCTCTCTCTCTCTCTCTCTCTCTCTCTCTCTCTCTCTCTCTCTCTCTCTCCTCCATTGGCTACATTAACACTGTATGCTATACATTGTTGGAACATTGGTACTACCTCTGAGATGCATACCCTCCCTTGCCTGGAATTCAAATGAACCTCATTTTTTCCCTCCCCTCGAACCCCCCCCATCCCCTGTTCGTACTCCTCCTCAAATAGGATAGTATAACACTCTTAAGATGTTTTAGCCCTGATACAACCTCAAAATGCCCTCAATACTAATCTGCTGCACACAACCCTCATCGGGATGCCTGCCCATACAAAAACCCTCCCCTTATACCTACAACAAACTACTCTCCACATAGTACCCTTTTGGGTATCCTCCTAGCCTCCCCTACTCCAGAATCTAACATACTAGCACCACACTTTGTACTCCAACTCAATCGCAAATCTTCTCACCCGAAATCCCGCTATATAAACAACAACTCCCAGAACACCCAACCAAAAAAAAACCCTCTTCCCCCGTGCTTATACCTGATCTCACCCACCTATTGCTGTCCTTGCGGATGCCACACGGAAGAGTTGGCTGGCGTAGAAAAAACGAACCAGTAAAGCACATATGGTTGGACCTATGATAGCCATATCTCGAACCGCCTCTACAGACCCGCTGCCACCTTCTCCAAGTTTGACCTCCAAAAATGGCATCAAGAACAAGGACCGCAATGTTTTTGCCAGCACCCGCGATGGCAAGACTACACCACTGATTTAGCCAATGGCCTCCTTCCCCAAGATATGGAACCACACGTTGTCACAATGGACACCGCTATCATCAGGAATCCAATGCTGAAAACCCTCTTAGGCAACGGACTCAACCATATCCCTTCCGTCCCACTTGACCCCGAACCTATCAAAAAAGAATGCCACAAAGCTTGGAAACAGACCCTAAGCATCATTTCCCATGAATTCAACCAAAACAACCTCACCGCCGCAACTCAAGAACTCACCAATATTCTCACCAACAGTCTGCAAAGATACCCAAAGAAGTACGCACCTAACATACACGATCCTGCACTCCAAAACGAAATCAGATTCCTCACCGAACACTTCTATATAGCTGGTGCTGACAAAGCACCAACCACCCCCGTAATCTGCTGCAAAAACCTACTCCGCTTTTTAGCATTGCAACGACTCTCAGGCACAGACTTCACACCCTGCCCTCTAACACACCAACAACTCACATACTTTTTTGCAAACGAAATTTATACCCGCTTCCCAGGGATCCCCCTTGGCAAACCCACCATTCCCTACCTCTTCGCAACATATAAAAAACATAAAAACACATTCAGATGGCTCACTAATGCCGCTGATGTGGTCTTCACCCCCCTCGCAGATCTCTGTGCCACCATACTAAACAAATTAAAACTCGAAGTCCAAAAACACTGTGGACTTCTCTCTCAGGAAATTAGATTTTTTGTGTTACTTGCCTTTGCGCACGCCAAAAAAAACAATGGCAGAAATACCACCCTCTACTACAACATATGCCACCACAACGGCATCACCAAATTTGATTGCTTCTGGGCTCTCCCATCACACAACACTTTCCTGCCACTCCTTTTTGAAACCATCATTGCCATGAATACATGGCTCATAAAAAATGCATACACCTCCCTCGGCAACCATACATGGAGACAACAACTTGGCATCCCCATGGGGGTTAGCTGCGCACCCCTCTGGTGTAACATATATTTCTTCATGTACGAGTACAAATTTATGAAGAAACTATGCCATACCAGGAACCAAAACCTCCTACCCCTGTTCTCCAACATATTTAGATATTTTGATGACTTCCACATCATCAACAACCCCCTCATCGCCAAGTTCCTCAACCCAGAGATAACATCCCCAAGAAGTACCTACTACCTCTATCCACTAAAATACGTCACCATCAATGATCAAACCCGGTACACCACCATCCTACCACAACACATCGTTGGTACCGATTGTGATTTCCTCAATGTCAACATCAAACTCAATGATCTCAGCATCGGAAAGTACACCACCACCAAATTTGACAAAAGAAACCTCCTCAATTTCCAAATTATAAACCTTATAAAATTCCACTCCAACAGACCCATAACACAATCAATTAAAACTCTCATCCCACAAATCGTCACCATCATGACCATTGACTCCGAACCAATCAATGCTGCAAGACACATCTCCAATCTAGTCGAGACAATGACCCAGAATGGCTTTCCACGCTCGAGATGCATGCAAATTGTAGACCTCGTACTACAAAACCCTACACCATACCAACCCTTTAGATGCTCTCCGGAGCTTACGAAAACTATCCTCAATTAGACAATCCACTAAAGTACGTGTGTGTGAGCCAGCAAAAAACCCAATGCTGGCTGGATCGGATGGAGGACTTGGTACCCCTGTGAGAGGGGGGCAGGTCCAACATCTTAACACCTATAATACAGCTGAGAGATGGAGGACTGCCCCCCTCTCACAGGGGTCCTGCCCCCCCTCCAACTCCATCACGAGGGAATGAGAGAGGGACACACACACACACACACACACACACACACACACACACACACACATTCACTACTAAGCCTGATACCAAGCACCTAAGCATATAAATCCACTTCACCCCCACACTTACTTTCACCCTCCCTCCCGACACACATAAGCACCACACATGCACATAACACATACAGCCTGCACACGGCTCCGGGCCTTCACTATACACCCACATATACCTGGTGCCCCGCCCACCGGCCCCTAACTCACCCCCCCTACGCACCAAACCCGTGATCTCCTCACCTACATATGCCCTTAAAAAGACAAACACAAAACATGCGCGGCCACCTGGTGCCCCACCCACCAGCCCCAAACTCGCACCCCCCGCTTACCACCCCGTGTCATCCCCACCTATAATACACCATACACAATAAATAACTTTGGCACTTGATACCCCACCCGCAGGCCCCCATACCCACAACCCCTTAACACCTACACCTGACCTCCCCACCCGCCCCTCGCACACATTCACAATGAATGCCACCCCAAACAAACGCTGGCACCTGCTGCCCCTCCTACCAAAA